GCAATACGTTCATGCAGTATTCATCGTCGAAGTATTCATGTATTCATCGTCGAATACTCAAAGACCTGTGCAATAATCGTAACAACCCAGTATGCTTTCTTCCACTGTTGAACTAGAGAAAATGCATTGGTTTTTAAATGTTGCATTTTAGGCTGCAAACGTTTAGCCAGTTTCTCAGTAGTACACCCTTCTTTTACCTTATTAGCACTTTCTCACTTAACGGGAGTTTCTTACTCACTTTACGCTCAAAGTTAGACACACTCAAATGCCGAAATGGGTAGCAAGTATTTCTCAACTGCTCCAGTCGTACCGTACCTCCTCCGATAACCTTTTATCGCTGTCGAGATTTGCCATTTAAGTGCGCTGAATAAGTGAAGGTTCTGATTGTATTCTAATCACATTGTTTTCCCTAATAAAAATTCGCAAGGAATCCAAAACATCTGCTATTCAGAATCGTTCAACGGCGCAGTACGGGGGCCACAACCCAGTGCACTAGACCGCCATCGATGCAAACCATGACCATCATCATCAGTCAGACAATCACGGCCAATACAATGTGCTTTGGTTGTGGGCCATAGTAGACCACAAGAATTGCATAAACTATTGCGACTGCTCCGAAGACAAAAATAACTGCCGGTAAAGTATGCGGCATAGGTCCGCTATCGCAGAGCCTCCGCAGTCCCATCCAGAAGTTGCCCAAAAGTCCAGCACTCCATCCAGGAACCTGTTTGACTACCTTCACGGTGACGGTTAACCCGCCAACAGGATAAACTTACGTCAACGAACATTCCAAGGATACTGATGGATATTGGAAAAAGAACCCAATATTAATATTAAAAATATTACAGACAGTAGAGTTTGAGTTTGACCAGTCGCTGGAGAATAATGCTTTATCTGAGTTTGGAAAACAGCAGTCAGAGACTCAGAAATGTTAAAGTTAACGTGATGACTGTCGCTTTGTAGTGCCGAGGAGAACGGCGATAAAGCTGCATCCTTTATTTAATTGACCTACTGCATCACCAACACGCAATGTGTATCAAACAGCCGTTAAGAAGTAAACGTCATAGTGACGAGACTGACGACCAGACGGTCGACCTGCACATGACGCTTCAGCACAACACTGTAAATAAACGCGGCAGGGGATAAAAAGTGGCAGCGGCACCTGCCACTGGCAGCTGCCACCGGCAGTGGCTAGTTGCCACTACACGATCTGGCAAGCGATAAAACGTGGCAACTGCCAAAGTCATTCGAGGGCGCAATCGGAGGCAATGCAACCCGAACTGGAGGCGCCTTTGTCCTTTGGCCACCGTCACATGTGAATGGGGCACATGTGTCGGTGGCCCCATTGGCGTGCAAAACACCGTCTATGATCGTTCAAAGCCTTTAATTAAGCCCGAGACTGTGGAAGTAGGAAACGAAGGGTAAAAGGGCATTCAGACAGACAAAGAGCGTACCTGCTTTACTGCTTATAACTGTTTAAGTGCAGACAGTGTTACTGTGCAGTAACTGAGTGCAGATCTAGTTACTTTGCAAACAAATTTCTTGTTCTGGTTATTTTCGATTTTTTTATCATTTTTGGAAAGCAGTCGGCAAACACTCGGTATGCAATCGCCGGTTCGGCGTCCTCATTACGAATGTTGAAAAACATTAAGAATGTTTTTCATAATATTTATTAAGGTTTATGGTACCTGTCCTGGTCCATGCAAAACTCTTACACGTATTTTAATTGTAACTGGATGACTGAATCGTATTACTTTGAACACTATCAGGAGTTCAGGACGTTGTTGGCATTTCGCTGCTGTTGAAAATCATTCTGCATGTCAATTTTCCGACTTTCAGCATGTTGCGTAATTTTATTGTTTGTAACTTCTTTTCACCCGTTCTGAGTTTCTCGCCGTGTAATCACTTTGACACTCGTAAGCTGCAATTAATTTGTTTTGAGATGACACGCAGAATTTCTGCAAACGTGTTTCGCTTCACCGGCCAGAGAACAAACGGCAAGGCACAATCTCAGAAGCGCTGGACAGATAAACGAACACGTACTGTGGCTACGGTCTTCAGTCACACTAACCTTACAGGTACGTTAGGTACGTACTGTTTAAACTTTACGTAGAATGTTGCTTATTTATTATAAATCAATTCTACAGCGGCGATAAAACTGATGATTTTTTCAGTTAGACAGAGCTTTTGGACGGTTTGTCGCTTCTGGTGGTACATTTGCCAGTGACAAAAACGCAAAGCCAGTTTCAAACGTGTAGTCATTATACAGTCTGTATATTCCTCATACCTGAAAAAAAAACTACGCTCGGTATGCAATTTTCATTTCAGAACGAAAATCCATAAAGCGCTGACGAGGTCACTGTACATGATTATTTGTCTTATTTTACATACGCTATTTAAACCAGTTTTACAATCTTTAATAACCTTTAATTTTATCGTTCCTTTCCAAATTCTATATTCTGACTGCTCAATTTAACTGACGCTTCGAGCCAATAATTATCTTCGACAGCCAATAAGTTATCAGCAACAGCGGGGAGTACAACAAATACTTTGAAAATGCACCAGCGCTTTTTTTACTGCAGTAGACCAGCATAACTTGCTAGCGTTTGAAATAGCTAATATTCTGCAAATGTAAATCTTTTTATAAAACACAAATGGTTAGCTTAATTATAGACGGTATTTATCGCTTAATGACTTCAGGAATAATGTCGACGGTTGCTGAGCACGTGTCACAAACCTTTTAAGATTCAGCTAAATGTAATGCGAGTTCTAAGCGTAATGCTTGCAAAATACATGTTGTGTTGTTAACTGTTGCAGGGTAATAGCATAATAGCAAGATTGCGCAATACAAGTTATTTATTTGAATTTATGACGTTGTATTTTTGCGACTTTAGGGGAATGGTTTACGAGTTCGAATTTCCGACACTGCATGGGCCGTAAATGGCAAAAAGTGAAGACTGAGGCAAGTACTCGTAATATTCATATAATCGTTACGAAAAAAGGGGTGGCGGTGACACTAATTATTTTCAACGGACAGGGAAAAATTTCTTATACCTTTATGACTAAAGGTAAGGGGCAAATATACTTGTAAATACGAGTCCTTCAGGGCGCATGCAGCACAAGTGGGAAGGCACCGATTAAGGGTCTCAATTTAAATTTATGGTGCGGTGTAAAATAAATGTTTCTTGGTTCTTTCGCGATATGATTATGCATGTACTCGTACTAGCTTTAGATACCTTCAAAACTATAGTTTCTTGGAAAAGAATACGTCGACCATGTATTACGTCGATCAAGAACAGAATGCGAACGCAGTTTATAAATCGATAAATAATTTGCATTTATCGGCATTCATTCAACATCGGCATTTATTCAACATCGCCTTCACAATTTCGGCAACAGCACTGCGGTTATTTACGTCGGGCAGCTTCGAGCGCCAAAACAAATTCACAGAGCAAGACCAGCAAAAACGACAGCCCAAACATGACCGTCAAGATGTGGGCCACGTCGGGACCCCAAGCCGCAGCAAATATAGCGACCCCGGCGGCCGAAAAGACCGTGAAGACCAACACATTCGCCCAGACACTGCGCATGAAGGATACAATAGATCCATCTGGGACCGGTTGGGATGGAGGAACTGTGAGCGACTGGACGGTCACGAGAGCTAGCAGGGTGTCCCCTGTTCTGTTGGTGCTAGTGGAAGCGACGTTCGTCAGCATGGACACCAGCGTCTGAATCGTCAAACTGCAAGTAATTTTACATTTTGTTAATTTTATACAACGCATGTTTGATAGCTGTTACTATATGCCTTTGTTGGTATACCTGTAGACTGTAGCAAAAGATTGTAAAACGTTTGCTGTAATTTAAAAGAATTTAAAAGATACGATTTTTACACTGCTTTGGTATCACGTTACTTTTCGTAAGACGTTTAGAAAAGCGTTTGGCTAAAAAAAAACTGGATTTCTATGAGTAATTAAAAAGCATAAATGTGTTGCGAAAAATTGCATTTTTTAAGTGGAAATGCAATGCTGTGGACTTTGGTCCGCTTTTTATACAGCCGTGCGAAAGAGCGCTTGCCAGTGCAACGAAAACCAACTGAAACCGTTTAAAATCCAGGCAGAATCACAGCATAAACTGTCACATATTCACCAGTTGTCTCTGTTGATGATCACCATCGTGGCTCATACTTACGTAAGATTCTTCCCCATTTCCATGAGCTCCTTTAGATCGGCGCTGCAGGTATCCAGGCGGTCGTTGCACGCTGGTTGTGTTGGGCACGCCGGCGGCTCTTGCTGATTGCCATGAGATGATGGAACCACTGCCAGTAGGAAAATCCACATCAGCCCCATGGGAATCATTTGTTAGACACCGGAGTGAATTAATTGGTATGCCAGCTTAAGAAAAAGCAGATGCGGTAAACGAATATTGCTTCCCAGCAGTTGTTAAAAGTCAAACAGAAAAAAGTCAATTTGTAACTTAGTCAGTTTGTCTAGCAAATCTGCTTGGCTTAGATATAAGGCCCACTAAACAATCAAAGCCGTTAGAACACTGTGCCAGGTAGTAGTTTTGGAATAGTGCAGATATGCTCTGTGGTGCTACTGACGGACTAGATCCGGATTCTACTTCCGGGTATTTTATTTTTTACCCCGTATTACGCTGAACAGATCTCATGCCTCAGATAAAGAAGTGTGGTAAAACAAACGCTTGACCCCATTAAGCCGTAGAGAGTGACAACGGCTCGCCTTCGAGGGGACGCCTATCCTTCCACGGTGTTCTAGTTTGGCTGTTGTTAAAGCAACGGTGAGCATCAAGACGCGTAGTAATGAATACCTAATGAGCACCTTATAAGCTAATGATTAGAGGCTTTGATTCCGTACACTATCGTTCGGCAGTCGACATTTCCTTTGGCTGCGTGTACTATGTATAAATACCATTTATTCTTTTAAGTTTTAATATCGCAAAACGGGATTTAAAACCCACAGTATAACCATCACGATCTCCGATATAAGAATCAGGCTTATTGCAAAAGTACGTGTAACTGCACCGATGACCTTTTTGTTGTCGAGATTTTTCCCAGATGAATGCTCTTGGTGAAGTGCACTAATAAGAGAATGCTTTTTTATTTTAATGCCTGTTTTCGTTCACTAAAAACTGCGAGGAAAATGAACATGAAATCATTTGCTAATTAAAGCTCCTCCTTAATAATCCGTTTGACATGCAGTATGGGGGCCACCAACAGATACACGCTGCCGGGGACGATGACAGCCATGACAATCATCATGAAAACAATGTGCTTTGGCTGAGGGTTACAGTAGACCACCAGAAGTCCATACACCACTCCCCCTGCCCCGACGACAAACATGACTGCCGCAAAAGCATTGGGCATTCCGAGAATGGGCCCACTATCGCAGAGTTTCCGCAGTCTCATCCACAAATTGTCCCAGAAGTCCAGCTTTCCATTCAGGAACTTGTTCACCTCACAATCAGCAGCGTTCAGTGTGAAGCGTGGATATCCTTGTATTATACTCTGCTCTATATCTATAAAGCGCTTTTCCAGCTTTTTGGAACGCTTCGCCTCTCCTTCAGGCACGTCCCTGAAAACGGGTGAAACCAATGCACCAGCTTTCCAAAGAGGGAATATGATTCTAAGAACATATTTCCGTGACACACACAAAGATGCACTGACACGGAATTTTTCGGGCAACTTAAAACACCCTGGCGCTAGATATTATTCTGCAAGCAGATGATTGGTATTCGTTCCCGTAAAAACCATCCATGCCATTAACACCCCGTTTTCAAAGTTAGGCAAACTGAAATGGGTTCAAAAGCAAGGACATTCAAAGTAATTCCGCAAGTTTATTGGATGCCAAGTTACATAACTAAAACAACGAGAAAATACCTTAAAAATGGGAAGCATTTTTGCATGGCGATAATCTTCTCCTCTGTGCTCAAGGAGTTATAAGATTGGTCACGCAGACACTGCAGGTCTTGCTGGAATGTTATGTCCCTATTCTGGTCGTCATCGGGCTGTGGATCCACCGCTACCGCAAGCACTGCTGGACAAATTAACCCGCACAGATACAGCAGCGCTTGCACTCTGAGCAGCATTGCATTCCAGCCGAAGATCGGCATAATCAATAAGAAACAATCTAATGAATTATTATTCTGAAAAATTGCTCAAAGCAAACCCACAGGCGAAAATATATTGCGCACGTAAATCCCTATGCTGCTTTCATGTAGAAATAGATCGATATTGCAAGACCTTAATATTTTCGAATGCGAGGCACCGTATACGTTAGTTGGCAACACTAGCTGCACATCGAGTGCAATTCAGCCTCATGTACAGGTACATTACTGTTTCTGCTGTACACGATGTCGCGGACGCCGCACGCAGCAATCGATTGCCAACCGCCGCGACCATGTATAGATAGAAATTTTTCTACCGGAAAGTCACGGTGATGCATTTGAGATTTTAACAAGTATGTATGGCCTGTGTTCAGCAGTCACGCAGTGTATAGTATATCTGTACATCTGCGTGACTACCGAACACTGGCACTGTATAGCAACATACTGTATGTAGGGGGAAAAAGCAAGCTACTCGGACCATTCCCTTGTACTGCTGCCGTCAGCCGGGTCGAGATTTGCGTGTGGCTAAACATGGTGCTTATGTACCCGCGTCTGATTTAGCCGCATGTACTGCCGTAACGTCGTCACCAGACTTGGGCCACCTTTGCGTTTTCCACCTTCCACCCACCCCACCTAAATCCACAAATTTTCCACTCCACCCCACCCCACCACGCTACAAAAATGGTCCACCTCCGCCCGCCAACGATAAATGCTTCCACTGTCCCCCGCCCGCCCACTGGCTTTAAAAATATTTTCGTCAGTTTTTATTGAGTGTTTAGCTTGTGTTGCACTTCAAAAATAGTACAGAAATCCCGTGATTAAAAAAGGATTTAATTTTTCACGTGCTCAGGTCACCAAAAGTGACACTGATGCCATTGAATCCGCGCGGAGTGCGGAATTTTTTTTCCGATTTTTGGCTGAAAAACAATATTTTTTTATGTGCCGGGCCCGTTTTCCTCCCACTTTTTAATTTTTCCCACCTCCGCCCGCGCTCGTATTTTCCACCCCGCCACCGCCCGCCACTTTCAAACGTTCCACCCACCTCCGCCCTCCAAAAAAGGTGGAGGTGGGCGGAAAAGGTGGGATTTTTCCCACTCCACCAAAAAGGTGGCCCAAGTCTGGTCGTCACACTCCAGCCGGGTAACAGCAGCATTGCCGTGAATTTGTTCGACTGACATGGTGTCCCCCCCTATAAAAACACAGCCGTACTTTGCGATTGCTTTATTCGGCTAGTTGTTTCGAAAGACATAGCTGCGACGTCGCCTCCGTATCTCTTTTGATCCACGGCTGATTTGAACGAAAATTTCACCAATGTCCGATAGTCCCCACCGGATCAAAATTTTGTGGCCTCTCACTACCGCCTTCGCAAAAATCTTTTGCCGAGAATATGGAATGACCTAAGGATGCCGGCAGAAGCTTATGATAGTTTGACTAAGTTAATGCAGCCTTAAACTGAATGTTGCATAGAGATGGCAAAACTAAAAAAAACTAAACTAAACTAAACTAAAACTCGGTTAAAAGTTGAAGTTGCTAAAATTGACTTGGTTAAAACTTTTAGTCGGCTAAACGTCGGCGACTAAATTTTTTAGTTGTTAACCTGAATTTAGTTAAAAATTTTAACCGGTTAACCAAAGTTAACCGAGACTAAAGATAAATTTTCTGTTAAAATGTTTTCCTTATTCTATACAGTGGTGTCACTATCGCGGCGAAATGGTCCCACCTGTCGCCATAGTGTCATTAGTTCCGTATAACAAATAAAAACAGAATCAAAATTTATTCGGCCTTCAGAGAACAATAAAATTTTATTTTGAAAATATAAGCTACAGTAGAAACAAATCCGTAATTGTATAATGTACATAATTACTGGAAAAACTGTCAGTACTGCCAGTACATGCATATTACACACTTCATAGGGCCATTACACAGTACAGTACTTCAATGTAAAGCCATGCAGGTACTGTAACTGCATTAGAAGATACAATACGCCATGCGCTACATTTACGATTAAATTGAAGTACTGCACGCATACTATGCAGTGCGCCGATCTGGTTGCGCAGTTTGTACTTGAAAATTATGAAAAAACCACCGTCTCTTGCGGTCCGCCATTGCGCTGGGAATAAATTTCGGTTAACCGGTTAACCGCTGAGTTTTAGTAGCTAAAATCTACTCGGTTAAAAAATTTAGTTACTAAAAAGCTCTTGACTAATTTTTTTAGTCACCAAAGTTGGTTAAACTAATTTTTTTAGTTTTAGTCGAGTTAACCGAAGTTAACCAACTAATTAGTCGACTAATTTTAGTTTTGCCATCTCTATATGTTGCATGGAAAACAGTGACGTCGCTGAAGAAATTGTATCATGTCGATCATGTACTGTTGTTAGAAATGTGAATGATTGTTAATTAGCTTGCCCGTGAATGGATGTTTAACGTTCTTGTGTTTTATTATTTATTATGACGAGTCTGCTGACTCGAACTGGGTCCTACCCAGAAAGTGTGCGGACGTTAAACAATTAACCTTTAACTAAAGTTTATTAGTAAATGTTACAATATAATTTCTTAATGAAGGACTCCAGGTCGGATTGTTGATGACGCCTACCGAAAAAAAATTATAAACTGAAACCACGCCGGGACTGGGCAGGGGCGGTAATTCCGTCGCTCAGTCATCTAGAGATTTTGCTCATAGAGTGGTGGTGGCTTGGCAACTACATAAATCATCCAGACATTCTGCTCACTGGAAGTGGACAGGGTGATAGTTCGGTCACTCTCCCTTCTAGAGATGTTGGTCATACAGTGATGACTCAGTCTCTCCTTAATCCCTACTATCGATAGTGCCCACTGGAGAGTTGTACTATATGACAACATGTAGAGAAGTACGTACGTTTTTGTACCACGCAAAGCAGATGTTTCTATCTGATCTTTGTTGTACCTTAAAGGAAACGCAACTGAACTGAATAAAGGAACCGTAGCTATGTACGGTGCCTAAAGTAAGGAACAGAACGAAGAACGGATTCAAGAACGAAGATCTTGTGATCAAGTTCTGGACCGAGGCCGATCTGTTGGCGTTGTCAGTTTTTGAAAAAAAATGTTTTGGTTATCGAGATCACAAAACTGTGGGGCGCAGCGCGTACTCGTAATCGTTGTATAGTTCTTGTACTTTGTACTTAATACAAAATATTTGGTCTTTTATTATTCATAATATTTGTTACATATATATAACATATGGCACCAGTAAAGATCCGTACCAATGGTCACATGGTGCATTCAACTGCACCATTGGTGCATGCATGTGCACTTTTGCTGCATATACCATTGTTTTGAGTACTTACTTAGGCGCTAATAAATCATACAATTATGTCGTCGCCGAGTTGTGGTACTATGGTCAAGTACCAATTGCTTTGTTTATCGACGTACCGTGTAATGCACTGTTGACTGATCACTGCCGTCGCACCGTCCGTACTCGTATTGTTGCAATATTAATTATTTATGGCAGTGCTGTAATTGTTACCTTATTATTTGTAATTCCACATCTCGCCGTGCGCCCTGGTGCAGTTCACTAATACTTTCTCATCGTGCGGTCGATATTGAGTATTGATTGCACAAGCGTGTAATACCTAAGCCCCTGGGTAACAGCAGTGGACAGTGATCAGGAATGCAGGTACCATTGGCAGCGATTGACACGTCATTGATAGCAAAATTTAATGTTGCAAAACTTGCACTTATTGTGTGGAGGTCGCCAGTCTGAACGCTAAGTACTATACTGGCAATTACACACCAAATTTTGTACGTCAATTTCGTCGTGCAAATACTATCTAATTAAATACACTCCCATTAGTAATTTTGCAATAGATTAACCTTTGCAGAGCGCTAACGTAGGCACTGTAGTATAGTAGTTACTGTAATATTAAGTACTTCTGTATTTAGTTGTTGTTGTCAATAAGGTACAGCTTGTTAATCGAAGTGCTTTACATATTGCTTTGCATACTGTATTGCCTGGAGACAGTACTGCTGGCTTTCTGTTCAGCAATACTTCTAAAGTGCACCCGTACTTTCAAAGTCTGCTATGCCAAAGTGACCTTCCCGAACAACGCCGAACAAGCCGAAACAGACGATATAGCGCTGAGGCATTTAAAAGTATTGCATTACTTTTAAAGTACAGCAATACCTTTAAAGTATTAATGCACTTTTAAAGTATTGCAATACTTAAAGTATTGTCGTCGCCGAGTTGTAGTACTATGGTTGTAGTTCTAGTACTAATACTTTTAAAGTATTACTTTTAAAGTATTGCAGTACTTGAAAACGCCTCAGCGCTTGATCGTCAGTTTCGGCTTGTTCGGCGCTGTTCGGGAAGGTCACATTGGTACAGCAGCACTTTAGAGCTACATTTTGCACTTTGACAAGCCGAAACAAAGGATAAAGCCTTGAGGCATTTTAAAGTATTGCAGTACTTGGAAAGTACAGCAATACTTCTGAAGTACAACAGTACTTTCAAAGTATTGCTGGGCGAAAGTGACCTTCCCGAACAACTCCGAACAAGCCGAAACAGACGATCAAGCGCTGAGGCGTTTTTAAGTACTGCAAAACTTTAAAAGCAATACTTGAAAAGTATTGCTGTCCTTTAAAGTAATGCAATACTTTAAAAGTACAGGAATACTTTTAAAGTATTGCAGTATTTTGAAAGTACAACACTACTTTCAAAGTATTGTTGTGCCAAAGTGACCTTCCCGAACATCGCCGAACAAGCCGAAACAGACGATCAAGCGCATAGGCATTTTAAACTACTGCAGTACTTCTGAAGTAATGCAATACTTTGAAAGTATTGTATTACTTTCAGTACCAAGGTGACCTTCCCGAACATCCCCGAACAGGCCGCAGCTGACGATTAAGTGCTGAGGCATTTGAAAGTATGGCAGTACTTCGAAAGTAATGCAATACTTTTAAAGTACTGCATCACTTTCAGTACCAAGGTGACCTTCCCGAACATCCCACGAACAGGCCGAAACTGACGATTAAGTTCTGGGGCAATTTAAAGTATAGCAGTACTGTGAAGTAAAGCAATACTTTGAAAGTACTGTGGTAGACGCGTTTGATTTCCGGAAAGCCCGATACGGACGATTAGGCGCCTTTAATCTTCGATTAGGCGATCATTTTTTCATGTTCTCGCACCTCCCCCCCCCCGGGCTAACACCCCAACCCTCTGAAGCGACACCAAC